CCCAAATGACCCCTTTTTGGAAAATAGACAGTCTGAGGTATTTAGTAAGAGGCATTGCGAGGTTTCTGAAGTTGCAATTTTTTTGGCACAATTTTTTGGAAAATGAAGAAATTATTATTATTATACAGTATTTATATAGCGCCAAAGGGTATGCTCAGCGCTGTACAGTAGCAAGGGGGACAGTACATGAGACAAGACAGTAAAAATACAGGGGTTTGAGGGCCCTGCTCTTTTGAGCTTACAATCTAGGAGAGAGAGGAAGGTGGCACAGGAGGAGATGGCTATGGGGAATGGAGAGGCGGGAGGAGTGGAGGAGGTTAGTTGTTAGGTGAGGTCGGGTGTTAGGTGAGGTTGGGGTAGGCTTCCCTGAAGAGGAGGGTTTTCAGGGTAAAAGAAATTAAATAAAACATTTTTTCCACATTTGTTTTAACAGACTGTCACCAATGCAATACAACCTCATCATATTACTAGTGTATGCTCAGTGTTTGCACCTGGCCAGCCAAAAGAGTTGTCTACTATGTAGGACTTAGGAGCAATCCACAACATAGGAGCAACTGGAAACTTTCACTTATATATAAAATAACAGCCCCTTATTAGCTTCATCATTTTATGTTTTTATTTTCTATAAAAATATAAAACATTCAAAATTATAATATTAAATATGCTAAAAACAAGATAAAACAAAAATACAAAAAACAAAACAAAAATAACAATAATACAATAAGCACTGCATGAAGAAAAAACGATCTAATCTGGAGATTTCCCCACAAAAATAGAAAACATAATCACTAACTAAAGGAAAAAAGAGGGCATTTTAAACTAAGAGTAAGAATTCGTTTTTGCCTCAATGGAATTTTGCAGACCATTAATGGATAGTTTGCAGCAAAATCAATTTCATCGACATCACTCTGCTTATCCGCATTTGTTATGTAGCGATCATTCACTAAACAACATACAACCATGTTTATTAACTTGTGTTCATCAATTGCAAAGAAATCTTGATTTGGTCAATTGTGATAGGTTAAGAATGAATGGTACTGGTTTCCAATATACTCCAATGGCCCATTCAAATCTATGGAAAGTTATTGCACAGCCATGAGCTTTGTCCGACAAGATTTCTGAAACAAGGCTGAAAACACTGCAGAAGGTTATTAGAAGACTCCTGAGTTTGAGTGTGTGGAGGAGGGGTGGGAGGTTATCTTAGACTAGATTATGGTTCTAGAGGGGATTTTTATTCTAAAGTGAACCTGTCCTTTATCAGCAGGTACCCACGCCTCCTCTGTGCTCTGGCCAGTGCGGATGGTGTTATCTGGCATATGAACATGAAAGTCATCTTAAATATTGGTTATTGTATATTTGCCACTGGCCCCAACCCTCTGCCTGGACATCAGACTACACCTGCCTGCAGCCTTACTCTATTTTTTGTCTGGATCAAGGACTATGCCTACTTGCCACCTTCCCCCACTTTTTGCATGAATCTTGGATTATTTCTGCTTGTCAACTTCCTTGACTTTCTGCCTGAATCCTGCACTACAGTTGCAAGAAAAAGTAAGGGCAGGACAGCTGTCAGCAACACATCCAATATCATCACACTGATTGGAGTCAAGGTTGGCGCACTCCTGGCTCCAATTAGCTCTGGGAGAAGTCATTAAGCTAGGGCCTCACATACGTTTTCCTCCCTGCACTGTGAATGTTTACATGTTATGTGCAATTAAACCATGGCAACATCTAATGTTTGTGTAGTATTATGTTCAGCAGACTGTGTTCTTCTATTGTTGTGACTTAGAAGACGTTCAGAAATTCTGAAGGACCCTCTGTACACTGGTATATACCCTTTCAAGCAAACTATGCAATAAATAGGGATATTTAGTTCACACATATTGCAATACATGCTTAAGCTGGCCAACTGCGTCAAAGTAATCCCTCTATGGCCAGTCCTACTCTGCTCTGCCTACGCAAGTGCTACTGTGGACACAATGCTAGCATAGGGGAAAAGACACAATGGGGAGAGCTACAAGGTTCAGGTCTGGCTACTGACCCAACAATACAACAAACAAGAGATCCCTGTGCTCAAATCCCAACAGCTAGTGCTTGCATTTATCCATCAGGTGCTAAAGGGGTGTAACCACATTAACTCTAGAAATTCTGAAGGACCCTCTGCACACTGGTATATACTAAATATCCCTATTTATTGCACAGTTTGCTTGAAAGGGTATATACCAGTGTGCAGAGGGTCCTTCAGAATTTCTAGAGTTAATGTGGTTACACCCCTTTAGCACCTGATGGATAAATGCATGCACTAGATGTATGGATTTGAGCACAGGGATCTCTTGTTTGTTAGATGACATTCAGAGCACATTTTATGCCCAATTCATGCAAAACTCCACGTAATCCCAAGGGGTTCACATACTTTTTCTTGCAACTGTATGCCTGCCTGCCACCTTTGCTGACTTTCCCTGAATCCTGGACTATGCCTGCCTGCCACCTTCCCCAAATATCTACCTGGATCCAGGACTATGCCTGCCTGCCACCTTCCCCAAATATCTACCTGGATCCAGGACTATGCCTGCCTGCCACCTTCCCCAACTTTCTACCTAGATCCAGAACAATCTTTGCCTGCCACCATCCCTAATCAACTGCCTTGATCATGAACTACTATGTCTGCCTTCCGTTTTCCCCAAACATTATTTATGAATCCTGGATTATGCCTGCAGAATACCTTACTCAAACTGTGCCTGGATCCTGGACTGTCTGCCTCCCACCTTCTGCAATCTTGTGTCTGAATCCAAGACTATGCCAGCCTGCTACCTTCCCTTACCTTCTGCCTAGATCCTGGACTATGCCTATCTGTCACTTTCCCTGACCTTCTGTCTGAAACCTGGACTATGACTGCCTACCACCTTCCCTGACCTTCTCTTTGGAACCTGGACTATGTCTGCCTACCAGCTTCCCCACACTTCTGTCTGGATCTTGGACTTTGCCTGCCTAGAACTTTCCCTGACCTTCTGTCTGGATCCTGAACTACGTCTTCTTACAGCTTTCCCAACCTTCTGTCTGGATCCTGGACTTTACCTGCCTGCCATCTTTTTCATAGATCCTGGACTGTGTCTGCCTGCCGCCTTCTACAACCTTCTGCCTGGATCCTGGACTATGTCTATTTGCCACCTTCTACAACTTTCTGCCTGGATCCTAGCCTATGCCTTCCTACCACCTTCCTCAAACTTCTGTCTGGATCCTGGACTTTACCTACTTGACACCTTCTGCCTGGATCCTGGCCTACACCTGCCAGCTTTTTTGATTTCACTATGACTCAAGTGACTCATGATAGTCTCTCCCTCTTTCTCTATCTCCCTATATATATTGTATGTATGCAGTTTTTTTAAAATATTTGCTTACTCCATAGATCTTCTAGGGACCTCAAGCTATGATGTTCTGCACCAAAATTTTTTGCCTGTGTTCCTCTGACCTGGGAGTTTTGGATGTTTCTGTCCACTTAAAGGAGAAGCTTGGCCAAAGCTTTTTTGGTCATACTTCTCTTGCAGGTCACAGAAGCACACATACTTGTGCACTCCTGTGACAAAGAATCAGCTGACAGCAAGCTACAGTCCGCTGTCAGCTGACGTCACACCATTCCAGGTTCTGGAAGGATCCCAACCATATTGTTGGGATCCACCCAGCTTCACGAAGGACAGCTGGCTCCAGCTCCCCACGTGGCTGAGATCTGAAGCCATCTTCTCCTGATCCCTCCCCAGCCTGGCATTCCAGTATTTTTGATGCTTTAGCGTGAGCTATTTTTTGTAGGGAAATCCCTTACCCCCTCCCCACCAGAGTAGAGGGACAATTTAACTTCATCCTACCACCTAACACCTAAAATGTACATATGTGTACAGTTCATCATTCCAGAACTGGAAAGGGAGTTTGTTTTTTTTCCTCTACCTCAGCTGCCTTTGCCCTACCTGAGGCACATTGCTGCCATATAATGAGAGACAGCTCGGCAGGATGGCGAGATGAAATCTTTAAGCACAAATGAGCGAGTGTAGAGAGACGAGCCGGAGAGTTCAGTGCTTATATAATGTCTCCAAGAGCTATCTGAGCAGTGCGAAATGGCAGAGAGAAAGAGAGAGACTAATTAGCCCCCCGGAGTGCCTTCAGATGTACAGTCTGTATCTGCAAGAGGGGCTTATATTTCATCCAATCAGAGACCAAACTCAGCACCAATGACTTTATTAATGGAATTTTGCCTTTTTTTCTGTGGAAACAAATTTACATTGTGGAAATAAGACCTTTGAGACTTGGCAGGCTGACCGTGTTGCGTCAAACTAACACCTGTTATCTGTATCATCGCCAGACAATATACAGTCCTGTGTCTGGACCAGTTCCTGGCGTCGCCAGATGATACGAACTCTGTGCATCTAGATCTACGGCTGGTTTTCTGGATTATTTAATGAGGCCTCACAGACATCAGCCATGGTGTACAAAGGTTAGGTGTCAAAAGCAACCAATTGCATTTCATGTAGTGTCAGCTGCCCCATGACTATAATCAACAGTGAACCTGGCATTTTTGAAATAATGGCCTGGTTTTTTTTTTTTTTTTGTTACTCCCAACCCATCCTGAGCAGCGCCAACAATGTTTGCTGTATCTTCTTCACCACACAGTGACACCCAACCAAGCCAAACCATCATGTTTTTTGCTTAAGAAGAGCAATCCCTGTGGGCCCCATAATACCTAAAAGCTATCAAGGGACCATTCACACTTGCGTACTGAGGTAATCCACATAAGGATGATAAAACATTCCATAGGGCACAAGGCAATGCAACACAACGTATCACATTACAAATACACATTACAAATACTGAGCGTTGTGGTACAGGTTTTTCATCCGTTGTAGAGCACTGGCAGTCCATTCAATGGACCTCACTAACCACCAATGTAAGGGACATTCTTCCCACTAACCACCAATGTAAGGAGCATTCTTCCCACTGACCACCAATGAAAGAACATTTCTCCCACCAGCCACCAATCTAAGGGATATTCTTCTCAGAAGACCAATGTAAGGGACGTTCTTCTCACTGACCACCAATGTAAGGGACATTCTTTCCATTGACCACCAATGTAAGGATCATTCTTCCCACTGACCACCAATGTAAGGGGCATTTTTCCCACTGATCACCAATGTAAGGAGCATTCTTCCCACTGATCACCAATGTAAGGGACATTCTTCCCACTGACCCCCAATGTAAGGGACATTCTTCCCACCCCCAATGTAAGGAGCATTCTTCCCACTGACCACCAATGTTAGGGACATTCTTCCCACTGACCACCAATGTAAGGGACATTCTTCCCACTGACCTCCAATGTAAGGGACATTCTTCCCACTGACCTCCAATGTAAGGGACATTCTTCCCACTGATCACCAATGTAAGAGGCATTCTTCCCACTGACCACCAATGTAAGGGGCATTTTTCCCACTGACCACCAATCTAAGATACATTCTTCCAACTAATCACCAATGTAAGGAGCATTCTTCCAACTGATCACCAATGTAAGGAGCATTCTATCCCCTGACCATCAATGTAAGGAGCATTCTCCCCCCTTACCATCAATGTAAGGGTCATTCTTCCCCCTGATCATCAATGTAATCGGCATTCTTCCAAATGACCACCAATATAACAAGCACTCCCCCCAATGACCACCAATTTAAAGGACATTCTTCTCACTGACCGCCAATGTAAGGAGCGTTCTTCCAATGACCACCAATGAAGGGGCCATTCTGCCTACTGATTACCAATGTATGGGGCATTCTTCCCACTGACCATTACACTAATGTACAATGAGATGTAGATCTAGTAGGGATTCCTTGAGTTATTTCAAGGGCTCCTCCAAAGGCAAACCTAGACAAATTCACTGACTAAAGCTCAAGAATGTTTATTTAGCAATGGTGGTCTCCAAATCCATGTACATGTTTTCTTTTTTGCTTCCTAAGTTTAGTTTTATTCCCTATTTATGACAAATTTTAGAGAATTTTGCATCTGATTGGGAAGAAGGTCTGTTTTATGGAGAAGAGAGGAATTGTGATTTGCGGTGGTGTGTGGATTGTGTTTACTCAGAACAGAACTCAAAATGGACAAAAAGTAAATAATTGCTGCAGCCTCTCAATGTATTATATTCCCATCCAGCAATGTCCCTGAGCGATCATCTCCTGTGACTCACCGCTGCTCTCCCCTCTCCCAGTTCATATCAGTCTTCGCATTTTGCTTTCTGCTTCCATTTCCGTATTTATCTTTCAGTTGCTTTATTGGAATGTATTCCGCTCTTCCCTTTACCACTTAGACCCCGTCATAACTTATGAGACAGAAATACTGCTTTATGGGGAGACTGCTTATTATGTGCCTGTCCGTCATACATCAATATGTATACATGATGCCGAGCAATATCAGGCAATGCCATGGAAATATTATATTCTTAAAGGGCACCTGTCTTTCTGTCACAGGGTTTCCAGCTGTCACTGATCTCCAGGGACAGTTTCATGGTTTGAAAATTCCTTCTTGGAAGCTTCATCCTTGAAATTGTCACTGGTTCATAAAATATACAAGCAAAAAACTTTTCATTCCCAAAGAACGAAAGCAGTGGGTAATATCTCTGAATAGAAAAGTCTATGGAACTGCTAAAAGGCAGTAAGGGATTTTTATTATTGTGGAAATTTTAGATTGTGGGCACTTAATTATACCCCATAACCACCAGCAGTAGGAAATGTAAGTTAGACAATCGAGTCCTAACAAAAGCAGTGGTCAGGGCAGAAGGGGCTAGGCAGATTCATTGCACAGGAAGTGATTGAGGTATTGGTCAATGCAGAACATGTTAGGCAGATTTGTAATAAAGGCAGATGGGCATCAGGCAGGCTGGTAACATAGGCTAAGGCAGGAGGCATCAAGCAGACTGGTATCAAAGGTAGCAGTCAGGGCAGGAGGCATCAGCTTGACTGGTAACATAGGCAGCAATCAAGGCAGGAGGCATCAGACAGACTGGTAACATAGGCAGCAATCAAGGCAGGAGGCATCAGACAGACTGGTAACACAGGCAGCAATCAATGCTGGAGACAACAGGCAGACAGGTAACACCCGGCAGCATTCAAGGCAGGAGGCATCAAGCAGACTGGTAACACAGGCAGAAATCAGGGCAGGAGGCATCAGACAGACTGGTAATACAGGCAGCAATCAAGGCAGGAGGCTTTGGGCAGACTGGTAAAACAGGCAGCTGTTAAGGAAGGAGGCATCAAGCAGACTGGTAACATAGGCAGCAATCAGGGCAGGAGGCATTATACAGACTGGTAACACAGGCAGCGATCAGGGCAGGAGGCTTTGGGCAGATTGGTAAAACTGGCAGCAGTCAAGGCAGGAGGCATCAGGCAGACTGGTAACACAGGCAGCAGTCAAGGCAGGAGGCATCAGGCAGACTGGTAACACAGGCAGCAGTCAAGGCAGGAGGCATCAGGCAGACTGGTAACACAGGTAGCAGTCAGGTCTGGAAGTATTAGGCAGATTTGTAACACATGTCAACGATCAGGGCAGGAGGTGTTAGATGTGTAGGACCCTTTTGCTGCCTATGCTGGGTGGTGACCCAGTGGTGCAGTCAAACATTTTCTCTCTAGGGGTCTCCACTTTCTTCCTAGTTGTAGATATAGTGGGGAGTGAGACATGGAGACCAGGCAGTCAGTGGGAAAGAAATGTTAGATGTGTTGAGAGAAAGCCTTTAGGCCTTCATGGGATTTCCAGAGTGTACACCTAACCAAGAATGTAGAGTGACCTTCTGCTAGACTTTGCCCTTTGGGGAAGTGCCATTTGTTCCTTTGCCTTTGATGAGTCTGCCAGGAAGCTGTAAGGGGCCACCCTAAAGGTGGGATAGCATTGAACAGGACAAACCAAATTTAAAAGAACCATGAAGTGACTTGACTCTTGTTATTCAACTGGTGTTAGTGGTGGACCAGATCTGGCAAACAAGAATCAAGTGTACAAACTGGCTTGGTTGGGGGACTAGTGATGGTAGGGTAAGAATGGGCCAGTCAGCCCAGTGGTGGTAACCGGTCCCCTGTCTGGACCACCCAGTAGGAAGCCCATATCCCCCATATATTTAAGCCAGACATTTGGTGCAACCCTCGACCTGGAACCACAGGAGTGGGGCCCCTACAACATAGTTGTGACGTAACATGTTAGACCCCTGACAAAGGCCTAGTAGGCCATGGAGAATGAACTGGAATATGAACCTTAGGTTTCAACTAACCACTCTGCAATTCATTTATATAGGCCCTTAGCATAGGAACGTGTTCATTAACTACCATTTGGTTGTGCTACACATGGCTTCGTAATACAGGCAGTGGTCAGGTCAATGATTTGATGACGTGCCAGCCACCTCTTTCAAGAGAAAGGTGGCCAGCTTGCAGTCAAAATGATGATATAATATACATTGCTGATTTGCACTAGCTTCTGTCTAAAGACCTGTGAGTGCCTCTGACAGTGGATTATGTATGCTGAATGTACTGCGTGTGACAGTGCCATTATGCCATATGTAGTATGTGGTGGCTACCCTGAGATTCATTATCCTTAGAAACTATATTGGCCAAGTAATCTGTTCATAACCAAAGTGTGTGGTACAAAGGCAGGGTTACTCCATCCAGATCTTTACAAATTTTTAAGAGCTCCCTCTATGGATGGAGGTGAAACTTTCTAAATGTAGGATTGAATTCCCTATGCCTACCCAAAGAAGTGTTGTAGGGAGTTGGGAAGATACAGTAGTTAATATTTTGCTCTTTTTTTTTGGGGTCAGATGGTCCTAATTACTGCTAATTCCAGATGAGGGTCTTCAAGAAGGAGGTCCGTCTGAGAATACCCATCTGTGGTTCAGGGGAGCAATGAAGAAGGTAACTGTTGTTTTCTCTGAGTACTCTGGTTTCCTCCCACACTCCAAAGACTTGCCGGTAGGTTGAAATGATAATAAACCCTCCATCATCCTTGCCCATGTTCAAATGTAAGGTTTCTAGGTTTCCTGTTTCAGGGTGGCTTCTTTCCCTTGCTGTGTCCTATGGAGCCACCCCTGAAGGGACTAGAGCTGTGTCTGCCTATACTGTTTGCATCAATAGAAACACACAGCCCCATAGCCTTGGATACCAAGCCATTCCCTTGCCCCACCCGCTCCTCCTCCCCCTAACAGACTGACTGGAGACTGCACTGTACACTGTTATTGTTTCTTGTGAAGGCTGGAAGTTCAGGGAAGCAGCTCAGAGAGAAAAGAAGCCAACAGAACTGAAAGTTGTCAACTGCAAGTGCTGGGGTAAGAATTTTAACAAATAGTTTACTTATTTATTTAGAGGAGGAGCAGGAAGAAGAGAAAAATGAGAGGGGCAAGAGGGGTGTACAGATCAGGTAGGTATTTGTGGAGGAAAAGTTGGGGTGGGGAGAGGAATCAGTATAACTGGGGGGTGTTTATTTTATGAATGAATGTTGAGGGTTCCCAAAAGTGGAAGCTCCACTTTTCTGCCTCCTCCCCCTCCGCTGCCACATTTGGCACCTTTTGGAGGTGTCAGCCTCAGCTCCTCTCTCTCCTTTAGGGAGGGGTGTGATAGGGCGGGTGAGTTTATTAACTGGGGGTGCATCATGGGGATTTCAGGGGGTTGGTGGGTGGGTTGTTGGGATTGGTTGGGTAGGTGGGGGGTGGGCGATTTTGGTTTATGGGGGATTATTCCATCAGGGTAGTGTAGACCCTATGGACATTATTCCATCCATCTATGTCCCACATGGAGAGTCTCCTTCCATTTTAGGGGTCAGGTGTCTCAGTGATGTTGGGTATGTACGCTGTATCTCCGATGTTTTACATTGTGCTTGTTGTTCAATAAACATTTTTTGAGGTTAGCCTTTTTAGGTGTGCAGCCTATTTTCTTCTTTGTTTTTTTTGGGGGTACCTGATTTTGACAGGTACCCGCTCCCACTTCTGGCTCAGTTGATCTCAGGGAACTGAGCCATATGTTCGCCCCCCCCCCCCCCCCCCAGCCCTCTGGGACACTGCCAAGGTGCCAGGGGACTGTGGCCCATTCACAAAGCACAGCGCTTTACGCAGGTGCAGTAGGAAAGTGGCGGAAAAGCAAGGCTTCACTGCCGGTTTCCCTTAGTCAAGATGGCGATGCCAACACCTGACAGCCGACTGAAGAATAAGCTCGGGGTGAGAACACTGCTGGATGCATGGACAGGTAAGCACCCTAATATTAAAAGTCAGCAGCTACAGTATTTGTAGCTGCTGACTTTTAGTTTTTTTTGGAAAAGTGGCCAAAACTCCACTTTAACTGGCTCCTGTCTAAACTGACCCTATTATATATACGGGCCAGGGGCCTTGCATTCTAAGCTCTTTGAAGACAGGGACTGATGCAACTGTACAATATGTAAAGTACTGCGTAAAATGTTGGTGCTAAATATATACCTAAATATACAACAAACCCCAGCGCACATGAACACCCTCCAAAAATACACCCAGGTTGTAAATTGCTGCTGCGCACAGGTAACTTAAACCAAAAATGAAAAACAATAAAACAGCGCAAATCAACACCCTGACTTAATGAATAACTTAAATATCATACGGTGTAGAAATCATTAAAAATATTAAATAATAATTAAACTATCCCCCAAAAAATACTCCATTCATATTAAAGTGTCCAAATAAATATGAGAAAGTCCTTTCTCCCCAATAAATTGTGAAAAACCAAATATCCCAACTAAATTGTGCTTCCACCATCCACCAGTGAAAAACCAACATCAG